ACCGAAAGTGGGTAACATTAGTGAGAGTAGTACCGTTAAGCTGGATGAATAGTGGAGGTTTGGCTGAACCAGGGGCAGGCTGAAATAGATTATAAATCTTAATTATATTCACCTGAAGGCCTAAGTGTGCATACGCATCTGCGGAGGTGTTCAGGATCTCCTGTAGGTCGTGTTCAATGTGAGCAAAAAGGGTGAGGTCGTCTGCATACTGAAGCTCAGTAAAGGAAGCTGCCAACATCTTTCTTCCTGCCTGGAGTCGTCATATGTTGAAAAGATCCTTCATCCGGTACTCGATGTCCACTCTGCCGGCTTAATTGGCACTGCCACGAGTAAGAAAGGCAGCCATGAAAATGGAAAAGAGAGTTGGTGCCAGTACACACTTTTGTTTAATCCCCGTTTGAATGGGGAATAACTCAGACTGGGTTTCATTGTGCAGGAAACTGCCGTTCATGCCATCGTGGAGTTGCCTTACAACGGCGATGAATTTTTGTGGTGCAGCCAAAACGGCTGAGGTTCCACCAGAGGGCTTCCCTGTTGACCGAGTCGAAGGCCTTGGTTAGGTCGATGAAAGCCATGTACAGGTCACGACGCTGTTCTCTGTACTTTTCCTGTATCTGACGGGCACCAAAGATCATGTCAGTTGTGCCACGTGATGGTCCAAAGCCGGATTGAGATTCTGGGAGGAAGTTTTCCGCCTCAGGAAGAAGTCTGTTATGGAGAACTAGGCCGATAATCTTGCCAGCTACGGAGAGCAGCAATTCTTGTGGTAGTTGTCACAGTCTGACCGATCTCCTTGTTCCTATAAATATTGACGATAGAGGCGTATATAAGAGCTTGGAGATTTCCTCCTTTTCCCATATATTCTCCAGGAGAGAGTGAAGGCGGCTGGTAAGAAGAGGTCCTCCTGCTTTATGCACCTCGGCTGGGATTCCATCAGGCCCTGAGGCTTTGCTATTTTTCATCTGTTTGATCGCAGTAGCTTCCTCATCCAGGGATGGAGGATAGCTGAGGTGGGTCAGCTCTTGATGCTTAGGGTAGTCAGGACATCTACATCGGTGTTATGGATAAGTAGTGAATGGTAGTGCTGTTTCCAACGCTGAAGGAGGCCTTCATCATCTTTAATTATGGAGTTACCATCGGATGAGCGGAAGGGGGAAGCGCCAAGAGTGATTGGCAAATAAGAAGTTAGTGGAATTGAAAAATTTGCACAACTTGTGCTGAACTGCAATTTTTTGTGTTTTACATGATTTATTTTTAAACCAGTCGTTCTTTAGATTGCGAAGTTCCCGATGGGCAGCCTCTTTCTTCTTGCTAAAGGTATCAGCTTTGGTCCGAGACTGAGGGTTGTTCTTCTCGTCAGTTAAAGCAGCACTCTTATCATCGATGAGTACATTAATTGCCGGATCATTTTCATAAAACCAGCCCTGGTGTATTCTTTCGATCTGGCCGAGGGTCTCTCTGCAGGTTTCTGTCCTGAAAGTGCCGAGAATATCCCATTCGACACTGGGATTTGGGTCTTTGTTGTTCGGTTGTTTATCAGCGCATATTCGAGCTGCTGTTTGAAAGCATGTGCTACCACTGGATCCTCCAGACGCTTGCTGCTTTCACCGTTTTGGAGCGACGTGAAGTGAGAACTTGGGTCTGACAAGCCGATGATCAGTGTCACAGTAGTTTGAGCCACGCATGGCATGGGTAATGAGGACATCTCGGTGTTCTTTTTCACTGACAATGATGTAGTCAATGAGCTGCTAGTGTATGGATCGCGGGTGTTGCCACGAACCCTTTAACTTGTAAGCCTGACTAAACAAGGTATTGGTGATAGTGAGGTCGTGTGCAGCACACTTGCTGAGAAGGAGTAGGCCGTTGGGAATACACTTGCCTAGTCCATTTCCCCCTATGGTTCCCTGCCAAATGTCAGTACAGTATCTCTACCAACTTTAGCAATGAAGTCACCAAAGAGCACAACCTTATCTTCTTTGGGGATAGAGGTTAGCACTCTGTCGAGGTCGGTATAAAAAGCCTCCTTGATGTCATCCTCTGCATCCAGTGTTGGGGTGTATGCACTGATGAAAAAGGCATGAAGTGAGTGATACAGTGGGACTCTGAGCGTCAGGAGGCGCTCGTTGATCCCAACAGGCATTTCAGTTAGCCTGTGTAGGATGCGTTGGCTGATGGCAAAGCAAACTCCATAAATGCAGTTTCTCTCCGCAGTAGGCTTACTCTTCTAGAAGGTATAGCCTGACACCTGTTCTGTGAATTGACCCTCGTTTGGGATCCGGGACACACTGATGGCTGCTATTTCGATGTTATACTTAGTCAGCTCTTTTGCCACAAATGCGATTCTTCTTTCAGGGCGCTCATTTATTGCCCGTATCCAGAATTGTCCTGACATTCCATGCAGTAACCAAAAGAGGTTGTATTGTTTTTTGTGTTTGGATCTGTGATTTTGATTGTGTTTTCTACTGCATAAGGACGATTTACTAGGTGCGGTTGCCCAGTCATGTCTTTTTTCTTTTTTTTTTTAGACAGGCTATGTTTAGGGCAGCTTTTCTTGCCCCCCTCCACATTTGGGGTTAGCAAAGTGGTTCCTCGAAAGGGCTGCTCAGTCGCATAGACAGGAATGGATTGCACTGCTGCCTAGATCCCAGTGCATAAACGACCCTCTTATCTGTGCCTCCCATGTGCAGAGTTGTGACTAGAGACTCCCGGCACTCATCTCTGCCTGTCCCTGTTGCCACTCGTCCGTCGCCATAGGACTTTTCGGGGTATAGGGTTTTGATGATGATGAAATGTAAATTGATTTATGTGAGGCTGAAGCGCAGGTTGCAACCACACATCTTGGTTGGGGAGAGGGAGAGTTACAATGGACTGCCGACAGCCCAGTTTATTGGGTTTCGCCTGTTAGCCTGTCCATCAGGCATTGCCTTCGTCCGCTGGAGTAGTCGTTGGGTTCTCATGGTGGTCACCTCTTCCGCCTATACCGCCGTTGGGGTCTTGTTGGAGCTCTGTAAGCATGTCTGCCTGAAGCGGGGTTCCACCCCAGATTTTTCGTTCGGGGTTTACTCCCGTAGCCTTATACCTACCAAGGTTAATCCGCAAGGCAGAGGGGCAATGGTTAGTACGTGCTTTGACATGTCCACATGCCACTGGGTCTATGTGCAGTCCTTCTGGGTCCCACTGCTACTCCGAGATCCCCTGCCGGTCTAGCCTGAGCCAACGAGGCACCCAGTTGCCGTGTGTTGCTACGAGGAAGTACAGCAGAAGTCTTGATGGTGAAGAGGCAGTGCACTGACGAAGGAAAAAAAGGCTTATGCAAGTTGCTTCCCTGTTCGCCACGAGGACTAGCCAGCAGCGGAAGCTGAAAGCCAGAGGGAGCAAGCAGTGCTTGCACCTTAACAGTAACATAATGCTTCCATAATAGATGAATTTCACCACCCTGTGTGTGAACACACACACATACACACCATAGTAATGTGAGAGTGACCTACCCGAATTAGGAGTAATGTGAGAGTGACTTATCCATCCCAGTACAAATGTGAGAGTGACCTACCCGTCTCAGTAGTATAATGAGAGTGACCTACCTGCCTCAATATTAATGTAAGAGTGACCTACCCGCCTCAGTAGTATAATGAGAGTGACCTACCTGCCTCAATATTATGTGAGAGTGACCTACCCGCCTCCGCAGTATAATGAGAGTGACCTACCTGCCTCAATATTAATGTGAGAGTGATCTAACCGCCTTAGTAGTATAATGAAAGTGAGCTACCTGCCTTAATATTAATGTGAGCGTGACCTACCCGCCTCAGTTATCGAGTGTAAGAGTGACCTACTCGCCTTAGTAGTATAATGAAAGTGAGCTACCTGCCTTAATATTAATGTGAGCGTGACCTACCCGCCTCAGTTATCGAGTGTAAGAGTGACCTACCCGCCTCCAGTTATCGAGTGTAAGAGTGACCTACCCGCCTCTGCCTCCAGTGTGCAGCTGCCTACCCCCAATGTGAGAGTGACCTACCCGCCTCATATATGTGAGAGTGACCTACCCGCCTCAGTAGTAATGTGAGAGTGACCTACCCGCCTCAGTATAATGAGAGTGACCTACCTGCTAAAATATAAACGTGAGAGTGACTTACCCGCCTCAGTAGTATAATGAGTGACCTACCTGCCTCAATATGAATGTGAGAGTGATCTAACCGCCTTAGTAGTAAATGAGAGTGAGCTACCTGCCTTAATATTAATGTGAGAGTGACCTACCCGCCTCAGTTATCGAGTGTGAGAGTGACCTACCCGCCTCAGTTATCGAGTGTAAGAGTGACCTACCCGCCTCAGTAGTATAATGAGAGTGACCTACATGCCTCAATATAAATGTGAGAGTGATTTACCCGCCTCAGTTTTCGAGTGTAAGAGTGACCTACCCACTCATTACTAACGTGATAGTGACCTGCTCCCCTTAGTAGTAATATGAGAGTGACGTACTCGCCTCAATAGTAAAGTGAGTGATCTACCTGCCTGAGTAGTGGATTGAGAGTAACCTACTCTCCTCAGTAGTAATGTGAGAGTGACCTACCCGCCTCAGTAGTAATGTGAGAGTGACCTACCCGCCTCAGTAATAATGTGAGTGACATACCCGCCTAGTAATAAAATATGAGGATGACCTACCCATCTCAGTACTAATGTGAGAGTGTCCTACCCGCTTCAATAATAATATGAGTGACTTACCCGCTTATGTAGCAGGGTGAAAGTAACCTACCCTCCTCAGTAGTAATGTGAGAGTTATCTACCCATCTCAGTAGTAATGTGGGAGTGACCTATCCGCTTCAACAGTAATGTGAGAGTGAAATACCCTCCCTAGTGGTAATGAGACAGTGACCTACTGTACCTGCTTCAGTAGTAATATGAGAGTGATCTACCCCCCTTGATATTAATTAGATGATGATGTATCTGCCTCAGTAGTGATGTGAGAGTGACCTACCCGCCTCAGTCGTAATGTGAGAGATACCTACCCGCCGAGCCGCGTCGACCACCAGGGAGAGTTGCGCCTGCGTCACGTTAGCGTCGTGGCCGTCCACTGCCACTTCAAATACCCCCACACTCCAGGTAGCCACCAACTGACGGATGCCCTGAGAAAGCAATGGCTGTATTTTTTTCCTCACGTAGCTGATATTTAGATTTTTTACGAACACATGAAGAGATTCGAAATGCGAGTCCCCCCCAAAAAGAAAAATGTATTGTGAAATGTTTATTGTCTTAAGACATTATTCATCCTTGAAAATGCAGCAAGCGAAGGAGTGTCCAGATGCCATAGTTTTCATTTCGATCTTAGATAATGGAAATTTTAAGATAAAATTTTATTATCTTTTGAAAAGTTTTGTATGGGACTACTTCCTCAAAAAAATTACATTCTAAAAAAATTTCCAGCTGTGCATTTTTTTAATATCTAGTTGTGTATTGACGTGTAGTTTATGCCCAAAATTCGAATCAGTTGTACTGTATACAAGGAAAATTTTTAACAGAATGCTACTTACTGGTGCCTTGTACGCTGAATCAAAATAGATAAACTTTACACATTCTCCACATCACGATTAAAAAGAACAGCGGATTTCACACACAATTTATTAAAATCTTTCTTTCATCGTGTGTTTGTTATTTATCTATAAGATTTCTCTGTTCAAGACACTCATTGATATAATAGTTTTGTCTTCTTGAAAAGCTTCACATGCAAAAGACACAGGAAGGATATATTGTACCTACGACACTTCTTCGAAATTTTAAATTGACGGACCATTTTACACTTGAATATTTTAATATTAGATAACTACAGTATTATAGTATTACAATGTTGTCTGTAGGTGAGCTGTTTATTTTAGCTCATGTAGAAGGAAACACCTGAGATAATAAATATGTAGAATGTAAATGTAGAACCTACATCGGATTCAGAAAAGGGTGAGTTCCTGCCATCAGTGAGGAGAATGACGGAGCTGCAAGGTTTTGACGCTGCCTCAAGTACTACGCCAGCTGCCTGGTAAGGACTGAGGAACTCCCCATTTCTTTCTGAAATCAATAAGACAACGAAAAAAAAGTGAATTTATTCACTTCAAAGAAAATCTATTTTTCAACAACTTAATTATTAATAACAATCCTCGTCGCTCAAACTTTCAATTTTCAATTTCAATTGTTTATTCCTTGATAGAGGAAGCGGGATCCTAGTGCTGTCACTAGGTACCCCTGTACAATGACACCAGAAGCATCTGGCAGGTGTGACAAGTATATAAAGTATAAATATTATAAAGGGGCTTACTAAAGCCTAAGGGAGGAAGGATATTCCTTTAACACATAATCAATATTATTTACAAAATATCTGGCCAGTATGGGGAGGATCATCGTGTCTCCGTCAGGGGGTCGTGGAGTGGTGGTCCAGCAGGCGTCACGGAAGCGTTGTGTGTGGGGACATCTTTGGAGGTAGTGGATAAGGGTGCTGCTGTCGGGTCTTCTGCATAATGCACAAGAGCGTTGCTCAGGGGATGCGGGGATACCAATCTCCCAAGCAAAGTCATACCCAATGATGATACGGGCAGCAATGCTCAAACTTTTCATAAGAATTACTACAACAGTCATTAATGAATACATTTTCCACTGACATACAGTAATTTTTCACTTCGGTCATCACGACACAAGTACAGTACCTTCCACCCTTAAGGCTTGTTTGGCAGCACGATATTTACGACCTCTTCTTAATTGTAAAAAAGAAAAAATACGCTCCTTAAAATAAAACCAGGTAGTCACGATTACTGTTTCGTGTTACTGCTACTGTTACTGTGTTACTACAGTGATGTATGTTAATCGTGTGACTGTTGTTACGCCGTCTCTTAATTTACTTTAATATCCAGGTTCTAGGCGTAGCCAAACAAAAGTAGTGAAGTAAATTAAAAGGGAATAAAAATAAATAAAGTAAACCTTTAAGAATTTAATTACATTAAATATTAACGCAATAAAGAGCCTCGTAGGCTGTCACAACAAATCGATTCACTATCGAAACCTTAAAGACACAAATGATACTAAACATCGAAACATCAAAAGAATAAAAATAAAGCATTGGATTACGTTAACACTGCATAAACATATAAAAACTAACACTGAAATTAACTAACGTGAAGCAACACTGAATTACTTAAATGTAAATAAGCAAATACTGATGGACATAAATAGTGACATAAATAGGTACTCACATAGATATACCACATTGGTGGCGACAGGTACAACACAAATGAATTAGGTATAAATAACAGGTGACGAGAGTCACTCAAAGGATGTGAACTGTATGACAAGAGGACTGAACTGCCTCTGTCTACAGGTGGAGTACTATATATATGGTCGGTTCGCGCCAAGCGACCAGCCGGTGAACATGGGTCGTTTAACGATGCAGATGGTCGTTAGAGCAACACAGAATGCTTGTTACAATACTAAATGAAGAAATAAGATGGGCTTGAACAAATAATAACAGTTAAAACCTTAACAGCACAGGGTAAGGCGACTAGATAATATAATAGTAAATAAAACACATCATTACAGGAATAATATGGAACATGGAAGCATGTTATATAAAAAAAAAAATAGAAAAATACGACACGGTCGTAACACTGTACATAACCAAATTTCATCTATTTATCTTTAAAACTGTAGCCAGATGTAGCGAACAGAGAGAATAATAACCAAACAAGGGTGTACATGAGTGGTGAATTAAAAAGAATGAAACACTCTACTAACTTGTAGACAAAGGTAAGGAGCGAGCAGCCCCAGAACATGTGAACAAGAGCGTCATCAACACCACCGTTATGCTGTGGTTGGTCATGCTTCACCCTGCCAAGAGGGAGTAAAGAGTATTGATTTTTGTCAATAAATAACAGATGTTGTCTGCTAATAATAATAGGTAGAGGATTAAATTAATCATTATGATTAGTCAATAAAGCAATGAAGACTAAAATGAAAAAATAATGTATATCATTACAAACAGTGTGTGTATATATATATATATATATATATATATATATATATATATATATATATATATATATATATATATATATATATATATATATATATATATATATATATATATATATATATATATATATGCAAGTAAATCACTGTCGGTGCGCGTGATCTAGGTATATGCTGATAACCACAAGGAAAGAAGAAAACACGAAGTTCCCAAGCGCTTTCGTGTAATTCACATCTTCAGGGGTGAGTACAGACTAGAGAGGGTAATACAAATCAAGGTGTATATATACAGAGGAGGGTGAGACCAGGTCCACAATGGTCAGGTATTAGGTAATGACCCTACTAATCTTTAAATAGCACACAACGGTTGGTGGTCAGGTCAGATGGTCAAGTGACCCGGCCTTCTCACCTGATCACAAATCTTCTTAATTACAAAATTGTCCAGCTTGTACATGCCGTTACTCAAATTCATGTTGAATGCTTAGAGGAGCTTAAGAGAAGGGTGATGACGTGACTAGACAGGTGTGTGTGTGTTGGTGTGGGGATTAGTGGATGTCATCATTATGACCTGACCTCATGTTTTTAGGTCACCCTGTATATTTAAGCCTCTCTCTGTCCATGTAATCCAGTTGCCTCTGAAGATGTCTTGAATAAAGACGAAAGCTAAGGTACTCCGTTGTTTCCATTTTCCCGTGTGATTTTATCAAGATATATATATATATATATATATATATATATATATATATATATATATATATATATATATATATATATATATATATATATATATATTAGGGTGGTCCTTATTTTGGGGCAAAAAACAAAATTTGCCATATTTTTGTCAGACACTGGCAAAAGTTTCCATTTAGGGTAGAAACATTGCCTGTAAAATATTTTTTAAATATCTTAATAATTAGAGGTTGCTCAAGTCAAATGAAATTTAACAATATTATGCCTATGCTTAATGTTCTGGCAAAGAAAATGCACAAATCTCTTAGTCCTCTGTTCTCCTTTGGAGTAAACTTAAACTGAGAATGGAATAACCACACTTTGAAGGAATAAATGGTCTCTGCCATTCATCGTGCTTGAAGCATTGCACCAGGAGCAGAAAATGGTACTCCCCGAGAAGGTGATGTACCAAGGAAGATGGAGGCCAGCTCTAGCAGCTCTCGATAATCATCTCGAATCTGTGTCTCCAATAGAGCCTTCTCAATGAAGATTTGTGCATTTTCTTTGCCCGAATATATGTGAAGGCTTGGACAACTACTCCACTTGCTACAAAGGCACCAAAAGGAGATCTGATGTTGCTTAAAGCTATACAAGACTACAGTACCATCAGCGATGCCATATCAAAGGCAACTTTCCATAAAATGATGAGACACCTCTGGTACTTGTCAGAAGAGTTGGTTGCATTGGCCTTCTTTGATGACGATGTTCTCCCAGCAGTGAAGGACCGCATGTTGGAAGCTATGAACATCGTTATTGGAGAAGAAAAGCATGTCAAACGGGTTACAATCAACCCAGATACACTCCAAGTGAAGAACCTATATGATTTCACGACAAAGAACACAAAGTCAATTTTCAAAAAGCTCAACTTGAATACAGATTTCCTAGCCCTCCCAGTAGAACAGTGGAAAGATGATCCTGGCTTCCAAAATGCAAAAGCCAGTGTACAAGCTTTTTCTGTGATCAATGATCATGCAGAAAGAGGAGTAGCTTTAGTCCAAGATTTCTCCGGCCGCATCACCAAGGACGAACAGCAACTGCAGTATCTACTGCAGGCAGTTGCTGACCACAGGAAATCATTCCCTAATGCCCTCAAGCAGACCTTACTGGGCGACAAAGAGCGAGACTGGTCCTCATGCGACCCCTGCCTTGAGCAGCTAAAACCCACTTAGACTAAGTAGGGGGGCCCAGGCTTGGGGGCTAGGAAATGATGTGTTATGAACATTAAGCATAGGCATAATATTGTTAAAATTCATTTGACTTGAGCAACCTCTAATCATTAAAATATTTAAAAAATATTTTACAGGCAATGTTTCTACAGGTGAGTGGTGAAGCCGGCGGTATGAAGCGTCCCCACACGAGCTGTATGAACATCCACTGACCTGAGTTTGAGCCACTCTGTAGAGTATGGTGATAGTTAGAGTGAAACCAGCTGTCTGGGTGCCCAACTAACGACGTGACGATCGTTTGGGGTCATCAGCTCTCCTCTACCTCAACTCACAATATCACATATCTTCAAGCAGTTTAGTGAAAACCCTAACTAAGAGGAAGCTAAAGCTTCTCTCAACTGTACAAGGTCGTAGTTACTCACTCCCTGCTTTTCATGGATGTGCTGAGTGTAAAATGAGGCTAGTTGAGTGAATGAATGATCACACACTGAGGCCAAGAGTCTAGTGGAACCTAGAGGTACATTTTCCAAGGTGGAGAAAGGCTTGTTTGTGCCTTAACTACGGGTGCCTGTTGGTTGTGCCTTAAAAAACTACGGAGTGCCTGTGGAATCTATGTGTTAGGTTAAGAAGCCTGGTTTACTGGTATTGGTGGAATCAATAACCTCTTAAAATAGTGATAATATTTTCTCAGTGACTGATATTATCTTGCTGTGTGTAGTCAATGCTATTTTTTCAGTTGCTGATATAGCATAGCTGTGTGTAGTTAATATTTCTTAAATAATTTTGATAGTATTGTTTTTTAATGTTTGTGTCACTAATTGATGCCCGAGAATGAGGGAACTGTTTTTCAGATGAGTTTTCTCCCTTCTGTTGTAAGTGATACTGTGATTTAGTTCCTTTAATGCATTTACTATTTCTTATAATTTCAATCTCAGGTATAACCTTTGTTCCCCAGAGTAGTGTTTAAGTTAGGTTAGGAAGTGTGTATCTGTTGGGGTAATATAATTTTGTTGAGTGCCCTGAAGGCCTATTCATTGTAGAGTTATTAATTTCTTATTTTTTTGAAACCATTTCCTCAGTGATTGATATTATTTTGTTGAAAGCCCTTAAGGCCCGTTTCATGTGTTTAAGCAACACTTCTTAGCACTTTGAATTTATTGTTGTCTAATGAGGCATTGTCTGAGGTTCTAATAATTTCAATATCTTGTATTAACTTTTATTCCCCAGAGTAGTGTTTTAAGTTCGGGTTAAGAGGTGCGCAGATGTTGGTGTACCATTATTTGATTGTGTCTGTAGTGTTGGAGGGAATATAAGTGTCTAAATTTTACAGTGTGTCTCATTCATCCCAATCACAGATGCTATCCTTCCACGAGTCACGGAGAATTCATTTTGTTAGTAAATTTAAGTGTTCTTGTGCTGGTTCGGGTTCTTTCTCAAAGGGGTGCTTCCACTGCAATTTCCATCTAATAATTAATAAACCCCAAGTCAAGTGAGAAATTAAGTCCAGTAAATTCCGACCGGTTACATATATAAAACAAAGAAGTATGTCTGTGTGTGTGTTTTTTGTGTGTTTGTGTGTATGTGTGTCTGCACGAAAATCTCGGAAACTACTTTACCGATCTGAAGTGATGATGGATTGTGTTATATGGAGTGATGATGGATGGTGTTTTATGTAGGATCACAAGTGGCTGCGCGATATGCGCAATTCTGGCACCAAAGAATAAAACAGTGGCTAAAATCAACATTACTCTAATCAGACAGCTTCCAGGCAGTGAGACCTCAATCAAGTCTGTTGATACAGTTATCGACCAGGATCAAGCAGTCCAGTACCCTGCAGAATTCCTTAATTGTTTGGAGCCCAATGGAATGCCTCCTCACTACCTCACTCTCAAGATTGGAACTCCTATAATGCTCTGAAGAAATCTTGAACCACCAATCCTCTGCAATGGCACAAGACTTGTTGGTTAAGAACATGATGCCACATGTAATGGAAGCTACAATACTGTCAGGAAAAGCTAAAGGAGAGGACGTTTATATACCAAGGCTACCTCTCATCACCACTGACCTGCCATTTGAGTTCAAGCGACTTCAGTTCCCGGTTAAAGTGAGCTTTGCCATGTCCATCTACAAAAGCCAGGGACAGTTCCTAAAGATGGTTGGCCTAAACCTGGTGATTTCCTAGCTTCTCTCATGGACAGTTCTATGTTGGATGCTTCAGAGTGGGAACTGGCAAAAATCTGTACATACTTGCTGCTAATGGCAAAACCAAAAATGTGGTCTACCCTAATGCACTACAGTGAGACAATGTGGAGCCTCCCGGAGGGTGGCGTCCTACCGTGTGTGTTTGTGTGTGTGTGTTTCCGCACGAGAATCTCGGAAACTACTTTACCGATCTGGAGTGATGATGGATGGTGTTAAATATAGTGATAATGGATGATGTTATATGTAGTGATGATGGGTGGTGTTATATGTAGTGGTGATGATGGATGATGTCATATATAGAATATGAAAAGTATCCTTCTGTTGTCATTAGCAACATGGATAAGAAATGTGAATACTGCGGTGCAAAGAAGTACAAAGGAGAATCTGCTGGACTGTGCTGCTCTCATGGGAAAGTACGACTGCCAAATTTGGAAAAACCAACACAACCATTGAAGACTCTCATGCTGGGAACAACACCAGAGTCAAAACACTTTTTGAAAATATACGGAAGTACAATTCATGCTTCCAGATGACATCCTTTGGATTTACCAGAGTAGTTCGTGAGCACGGATACATGCCCACATTCAAAGTCCAGGGTCAAGTCTATCACAAAGCAGGATCCCTCTTACCACTGGAAGATGTGCAGGCAAAGTTCCTCGAAATCTACTTCATGGGAGATCATGAAAAGCAGACTACGATCAGGTGTGGCAACATTCAAGGTGTCAGACATGACATTGTCCTATCTATCCAATAAATTCTGCA